CCACGTCTTAGGGCGTGTTTTGGGTGTTGAGGCGACACCACGGTCCCACCCAACTGGCTCTTCCAGTTTGCCATTAATCCTACCATTATTGACCTGTTCATCGAGTGAGGTAGCATGCTTCCGAGATAGCTTCAGTCTATCCATTGGATGAATAGCGAAATAATGCAAATTGTGACACATTGGTATAGAACGTCAAGTAGTACCAACAGGAGCTGACGATTAGGTTGATATCATGCGGAAGGCCTCATACTGGATTACTTTATTTGCTTTTGGTGTTTTATTATCTAGATACCTCCATTTACTTATAATCCAAACTTTTATTGTTTAAATTACATTTCTTTGAGAATTATGCCTTCACCATATCTTGCTCTTGCCTATTTCCTAAACCTATCAATTACTCTTGTTTGGGGGCTTTGTCTGTAATTTTATTTTTGTGCAACCTCGTGGTAGCAATTTTAAATTATTACTTTTGAGCTGGTCGCAACAAGTACTTCCTGAAGTATCAAAATTCATCCTTAGCTTTTCTTGTCGTGCCAATTTGATTCCCTGCAAATCAATCTAGTGTAAGAAGAATATTTTGCTTTTAAAATGGGAATAAATATTCGTGGGGTCGTTGCTCAACACCCACGCTCTATCTCAAACATGAAAACTTGATGGAAAATTTCCCTTATTTCTTTTACATATTCAGCAATTTCATTGTACATTAGCCGTTGTTTACTGCGAGTCATCCGACATTGCTGACAGCACCTCTGATTGGAAGACTCCCATTTGTTATTCACTATGTGTGTGCTGAATTTTCATTCTGTTTTTTTTTCTTAATCTAATGCCTTATTTGGTGCCCTCAGAATTTCGTAAATCGCTCTTTTGATTGAAACTGTTCACATAGGTGATCGTAGAATGCTGTCATACCCCTTTCACGGAGAAAGGCATGACGGCACACTGCATTCAGTCAGACAGATGGCATTATGACAAGCAGTGGAAATTTTTCTAGAGTGTACAGATATGATAACCAAACTAGCACACTCAGGCGGAGTGTGAGAAGGCACACGGGCTCATAATTTGTGCTAGTCAAATTTCTTTATGTCATGCAAAGCAGCTTGCCCCTATTGTTAGCTTTGTTAACGCATATTAAATCGGCGACTTTCATTGTGTTGTAGGTTGCAATAGTCATATTAACAAGGATCCTAGGCAAATTGATCCTCGCCGAGATCAATATCTTCAAGATAATTTCGTTTTTATCACCGATGCTTACAATTTCCATGATTGCTAATGGCTTCTTAATGTCAGCCTACTAGACGTAGTGGAGACGGCAAGTGGGAAAGGGAGTGAAGTGGGCTTGCATACGTATCTCGCGCAACCCAACCAGTACACCCCGTGCCACATACATGGGACGTTTTATTCTCTCAGTGGGAGACTGGATTGGACAGTTCCCAGTTCACTGGATCACATGAGAGAGGCCGTCTTTGCCAACCGTCGAATCGTAACATTTATCCACCCTAATGACGAAAAGTGTTACGATTAACTTTAATACTTAGAGTTTACAGTATGCAGACCAGAATGAAATATCTCAAATAGCAAATAATTATCACATTTTTGGGACTCAAGTAGTTCAGTGAATCGATGGATCACAGTTTGTAATGTTCACTAGGCATTCGAATTTGGGTGAATTTGGGTGACATAACGGGCTAGTTGAAATAAAACGCAAATCACACAGAACTTAATCTCTGATTAGAGAAAAAAAGTTGTGGGAATATGCTCGGTGGCTCAGAATGCAAAATGATAATAGCTAACACCCTTACTCCAGTCTTGCAATAAGAGATTCAGGCAAATTTAAATGTCTACCATTTCTGTGTCCATAGATGGGTGCTCTCACTAATTGGCTTTTCTTTTAGACACCATTAAATCGTTAGGACTGCTTATCTTTATCAACACACTGGTCAGAAAGTGCATATCGGTTTGAAAAGTAGTGACAGGCACACGATGATATAACGAAACTAATAACACTTGCGTCACCCCAAAATTAATTCCTAATACACCATTCCGTTGGGTTGGCCTGGCTTTATCTGATTACTTAAAAGCTCACCATGAGGAACATTGTCCGCATGGCAAAATCATGTAAAGGCCACAAATTGCATCAGC